AGAGTCTAAAATTCAACGTAGAAATATTTTTCTAATGCCGTCCTTATGTGCACAACAATGAATTCTTATTAATTTAATGAATATGATACCAAAAAAAAAATAAGGTTCACAAAATCACAAACAAAACGAACTCTGTCCACTAAAAACTCCCTCCAATTTCACTCATCCCCTAAATATCTCTCCATTTCTTCTGTTTCTCAAATCAAAACAAAACCCCTCCCCCCACCTCTCTCTAATGGCAACAGCTTCACTACTTGAATCCAACCCATTAAAATGGAACCAGACCTTCCTTCCCCTGTTACCTTCTCCTCGCCCGACACCGTCTCCCCTCTTCAAATCTTCGAAATTTAATGGAACCCTGATTCATCATGGTTCCTCTAAATTCACTTTCAAATGCTTCTTCTCCTCCAACAAGAGGCATTTCACTAGCTCCGGCTCGAACCCCAGATCGAGTTTGGGGTCCGTGTCTGAAAAGAAGCAAATTTCGACGAACCCATTTGAGGTGATTGCGGAAACGGTTATCAAGGCGGTGAACGCGTTGAAGAAACCTGCTGTAGCTGCGGTTTTGTTGGGGCTTTTGTTGATGTACGATCCAAATTCTGCGTTGGCTGCTTCCGGTGGTCGAATTGGGGGAGGTTCGTTCTCTTCGCGTTCTTCGTCTTCTTCGTCTTCTTCACGGAGTTATTCGGTGCCTCGGACGAGAGAGCCGAGTTTTTCGTACTCTGTTCCTTACTATGCGCCATCCCCATTTGGAGCTGGCGGCGGGTTTTTCATGGGGCCGGCTGTGGGTGTTGGAGTTGGTGCTGGCTCGAGCTTCTTCTTGATTTTGATGGGGTTCGCGGCATTTGTGTTAGTTTCCGGGTTTCTTTCGGATAGGTCGGAGAGTAGTGTCCTGACTGCTAGTGAGAAAACCAGTGTTCTCAAGATTCAGGTAACGACAGCTATATGTGATTGCTTTGGTATCGTTTCATTTGTTTAATAAGTGGAAATCTTCTGTTGGTGCTGGGTTGTTTTCTAGGATTAAAAATTAGGGTTTTGATTGGAGTCTTTATTAGTTATGATGCCGTTAGTTTTAAGATTGTTCTTGCACAGTTCCTAGGTAGATAAATTTCTTTGCGTTGCTTTTCACCTTTTATGGTTGGTGCTGTGCATCATTAAGTTGACAACCTGTGCATAGAATTAGAAGATATGCTCAGACTTGAAGCAATCTTTATAGTTATTTGTTAGGAGATACATGTAGAAGTTGTGTTGCAGCATTTGAAAGATAGAATATGACTCAATATCTTTAATTCTTAGGATGCCAACGGCGTATTTTGCATTTAAAAGGGAACTACATAAAGAAGGATTTCTCAAATGGGAAGTATGGTGCTGTTGAGACGTGGGAAGTCCATAATGTTTATGGATATGTTGACCATCTCTTAACATTCAATTCTTATGAATTCCTTTTAATTGAAATGGCTAAAGCACAAATCACCTCAGCTATGCATGCAAGTGTTGTGAATTATCATCACTTATTTTGCCTTGGCATGGAAGCTCTTTTAAATTGTATTTTTAAAGCTTTAAATGTGAATTCTGTTGGTTTTGAAGATGGTGGGTAATGAAACTCCCCTCACTTTTGTGTTGTCCACTTGTCTTAGGTTGGGTTGTTGGGCATGGGGCGGAATCTTCAAAAGGATCTTAATCGGATTGCTGAAGTTGCAGATACTTCTACCTCAGAAGGTCTCAGTTATGTATTGACAGGTAAGCCTTTTATTTTCAAACTTTATTTTTCTAAAGTAACACTCTTTTATGTAAGATTTAGTAGTTGATATTGTGTGTGATTGCAAATAATAAATTGAAAGATATATGGAAAAAATCATTATTCCCCTTTAGTTGTCAAATATCAGGTTTTTATCCAATAATCTCTGCCTTTTTTGTTCACATATTGTCATAAGAACTTCATATCTTCAAGATTGGTGTTTCAGCCGCATCTTTTGTTAAAATTCAGAGTTACACACTAAGTTTCTTCACTTTGTCTTGTTTAAGTGTGCTATGCAAAGACCTTTTTGTTCTCATGTCATTCTCTATGGAAGGATCTTTGAGATTGAGTTGAGCATTTTTATTCTCAATAAAGTATGCCATTCTTGTGCATTGTTCTCATGCCATTCTCTATGTGATTGATTATGCATTATCTTAATATGGTAGAATCTTTTTTTCACAATTTTCCATTATGTCTATTTATGGTATTAATCTGCTTCAATTAGTTGATAGAATCTATGACATTAAATGTGTTCTGCATTACTTTACTCCATTCTTTGCAGTTTTTGATATTCTAGTGCTATTTCCAACTGGTTTATTTTAGATATTCTTTTCTTTCTGGCATTTCCTCATCTTTTTATCCTTAAACTGTACAATTTTGCTGCCCTCTCTCTCTCTCTCTCTCTCTCTCTCTCTCTCACATTGTTTCAACTATACATATGAATCATCCAGCTAGCAACAAATGTAACTCTAGTGTTGCTTTGTGTTTATGGTTATAACTCACTCACCATGCCCTGTATCATCATTTAATGTGATTGCTAATGTGATTGCTACTGATGGATATCTTAAAGATCACGTTGCTTATTAGTCTTCTTTGGAAGCTTCCAGAAGGTTTGATCTGAATATTGAGCTGTCATTTTTTGATAGGATAATTTTTGAGGTGGATCGTTGATGTCATTGATGTGCTATCATTTCTCATAGGATGCATGACCATTTTTCTTTTCAACAATTTAGTTCAATTGAGATGCACATTAATACTGTTTTAACTCTTTGCTTCCTTTGATTCTGCTGATTGTAAGTGTTTTAATTATTGCAAATCAATGGACACAGAATTATGATTGTTAACACATCAACACGCATCCCAACTTGTATGGTGTTCCTTGTTTTTTTTTTTTTTGTTCTCCCTCGATTTAGGGTGGCTTGGTACTTGGAATTGTTTCATCTAGCAATTTTCTTTATAACACCTCCAGTATTCTCTATCTGTTACCAAACAAGTCGTACATTCCATATTTTTCCTTTCAGAGACAACATTAGCTTTGCTTCGCAATCCTGATTACTGCATCTCTAGTTATTCATCTGTAAGTTAACCTTCTGAACTTTTTTCTTTTCTGCTCTAGTCTATTTGTGAACTGGTAGCTCATAGTTATTTTTTTTGTGGTATGTGAAAAAATTTTTATATGTTGGTATATGAAAACTTGGTGCAATGAGTGCAGTGAATTTTCCTGAAAAAAGGTTTTTTATATGTTTTGGTATATGAAAACACGTGATGCAATGAGTGCAGTGAATTTTCCTAAAAAAATTAAAAGCACTCCGAGTGGATGGTGATAGCTTGGCTCAGATACAAACAGAAATGCCAACATGGGTATAAGTGTCTCACTGTCTTGTTACATCTGTTCAAATAAAATTGGGTTGGATAATAACGAGGGCCGAAAAGAGGGTGTGATTGGATGTGTGTACCTTTTCCTTTTCCATGACTCATTTAATAAACAGGGGCAGAAAGGTAGTGGGATTGGGTATCACTGAGTGTTTTACATTTTTCTTTTCTCGTGACATGCTGACTACATTGAGAAAGTCACTTTAAATATCTAGAAAATGAACACTTAATTTACCTTTTTATTGCTATTCTACATCCATAGTAATATGGTTGAATGTATCCTGTGCAACGTGCTTGTGTTGTATTTAATATCTCAGAAGTGCCTCTAAATGGGCTTCCAATGTTGAACTTCAGCCAGGTTAGATATAAGCCGTACCTGATGCATGAATGTCTACATTGTGAGTTTTTGTGCAGGCAGATGTAAAGCGAAGCATAGAGGATGGAGAAAAACGTTTTAATCAACTATCTATTGAAGAACGTGGTAAATTTGATGAAGAGACGCTTGTTAATGTGAACAATATAAAGAGGCAAAGTACAACAAAGCAGAAAGCTAGTGGATTTAGCAATGAGTACATCGTGGTAAGATTCATCCTAGAAGTTCTGTTTCAATATATTGTTTTACGGAAACCAAATTTTTAACTGAAGAATCAAATAAACGAAGGGGGAGATGACTTTCCCCTGTAATATTTGTGATGAAAGCTGGAGCATATGTTGTCACTGATGGAAATATTTTTGGGATTAATGCACATTTCCTTAGCTAATTATTCTATGTTTGACTCATCTTTAGCTGTCAAGCTGTATGTCATTTAGTGTCATGTTCTTGTAAATTTGTTATTCCTGTCCAGTCTAAGTTGTAAAGGTCGTGCCTTTATGTGGATCTATTCTCTTATTGAGAATTTAAGACATCTATGATAGAGACATTCATAGGCATGCTAAGTTTAGAATTCTGATAGAGAGTAAGATTTTTCACTTTATAACTCTTCCTTCCCTTTTAATTCATCTAAATTCACATATTTCAGATAACAATCTTGGTGGCTGCGGAAGGGGTACATAAATTGCCTACCATTAATGGAAGTGGTGACTTAAAGGAAGCCTTACAAAAGCTTGCTTCCATCCCAGCTAGTAAAATAATGGTAAGCATTGATATATTCCCCTAATTATGACTTCTGGAAGATAATGATTTGAATGCAAAAATAAAATCTCTTCAATTATCATGGAGGCAGTTGAGGTCTTGTGGACGCCTCAAAATGAAAATGACACGTTATCTGAGCGGGAACTTCTTGAAGATTACCCACTCTTGAGGCCTCTGTAAAATTTTATAACTAGATAAGTACAGTACATCTTCATGTGAGAGTTATGAATTGAACTGCTTGCTACATCTTTGTTATAATTTGAACTGATTCCAAAATAAGTCTACATTAGTATACATGAATTCCATTTATCCAGAACTGATTGGTCTGCTTTGCAATACTTAGTTTGTGACTAAGAATGCATAAAAAGTTAGGCTCACTTGCCTCTTGTTTGGATGCATGATAGCCAATTGAGTTGTAGGACCTTTTAAATCATTATGATGCTTGAACTTATTGGACGACCTTACTACATCATGGGTCTTTGCTAAAATGGGGAGAGTTTAGTGGCCTATGGTATGGTTTTACCAACGCTTTTTTTTTTTTTTTTAAAACTATGGTTTTACCAACATTTTAAGAGGAGCGTTAGGGACACTTTCTTTAGCACTCTTTTTTGACACTTTTCATCAGATTTGGCCACGTAATACATAAAT